TAAAAACATGAATTAAAATAATAAAAAAATAAAAAATTAACAACAAAAAAAATTGTTAACTTTCATGGAACCGAATAACGATACTCTTCACAAATAAACAATTCTTAATACAAGAACTCGATTTTAAACGGTCTGATTTTATAGTAGCTATAAGCTATAGGGATCCGATTAAAAAAAAAAAAAGTTTGTTTTTTAGTTTTAGCGTTGCAGGCTAATATTCTCTTGAATTTGATCGGTCAGTTTATAAAAATATGAGAAAAAATAATAACTCTAAATTACTTGCCTTAGTGTACGTGCGCAGAAATCCTATATAGGCTATCAAAAAATCGTAGCGCTCTAATTTCTTCTCCACATCAATCAAATAGGTGCCAACAACACGCGAATCGAAGCAGATACCCAGCGCATATTCTTTGTAATTATCGAGCGTTTCATTAGTTATGGCTGGCAAGATATGCAAATGTACGACACGTGCATAAATCTCCGCATCTACTAGAGGCAAAAGCATCGTGCAAACATTCAAGCAATTGGCCAACATCTGCACAGGTGGCTGCGGCACCGCCTTAAACTTATTCAGCAAATCAATACACATCTCGGTGGGATGCACCATTTCCGCGCTGATTGCGCTGAGCGACTTTGTGCGTTGCAGCACATTCTGTAGATACTCAAGACCTGCATTGATGCGACGCACACGTTCATTTTGCGACCAATCACCCTGATTCTGCACCGTCTCCGCGAGTAAACAGTTAATTTCGTGATGTAGAACCACAAAATAATTGAGTGTGACACGAAAATGCACACAATAACCTTCGGGACGTGACATAATCGCCGCTGTTGTATTTGCTGGGATAATGAAGTCCAAATGTGGGAATGGCTTTATGTCGGTAGTGAGTATGTAGTCTTCTTCGTTGATAGCGCGCAGAGGATAACTGCTTTCGTCGTATATGTCCGTGTATATAGGTAGTGATTCAACCTGCGTTTTTATCTAGAAAGTAAATGTAAATGTTAGTAATGTTATTGGTAGTGCGCCTAAAGCTGTGCTTACAAAATTTGACATGCCCGCTTTGGTAAGCGCACTCGCCAGCATTGATAGATGCACAAAATCTACAGGGAAAGTCTCCAGTAGTGTATTAAACAAGGAGCGTACGCCTTTTTCTGAAAATAAGCAATATTGGTATAATTTTATGATTGTTGTTGTTTTTGTTTTAGCAAAATAAAAGGTGAAGGTGAGCTCATTACCTTCATCCGCACAAAACTCTTTCGCTAGCGTTGGCCACGATAGCAGTTCGCTCAGTAATTCATATATGTAGGAATGACGCGCACACGAGCCATCGCCATCGAAGAAATTACACATGTGCGTAAGCATATTGTAGACAGTCTTTCGCACTATGCGCGACACCAAGCTGTCATCCTGCAAATATTATTATTAACACTTTAACAATTTAATCAAAAAGCGAACTCACTACCTTGAACATGGAGCTTGTTAGCAGATTGTGCATATACTCAAAACAACGCAGGTCAATGGCACGTTTACCCATCAGCTGGCACGGCAGAAAAGCTTGTGCGTCCTCCATGGCTTTTGTAAAGCGCATTTTCAGCAACATCCAACCCAGCAGCAGTGGACCATTTTCGGGATTATGATACATACGTATGATTTCTTGATCCAATGAGTCGACAATATTCAGCGCTAAAGCAGAGGCTGCGTCGCTCAAGTCGATACACTTCAACAGCAAGATGGTCTCCGAGTACGCCAAACGTGTCATTAACTCATTATGTAGTGGCTTAGCAAGATCCAAATAACTTTGTTGTCTGCCAAAAGTGTGTTGTCGAAAACAGTCGAATAGTTTCTCTATATGCTTCAATTCGAATGGTGAATGTTCACAAACCAGTAGCAAGATGTGTAGTACTTCGTTGATTTCACGTGCATTGCCCTCCGACCAGACAATCAGACGTGTGTGATAATCGAAAAATTCACCGTTCGCCAGCTGATTGGGTGGATATGCATTAATGAGTTGCTCTAATTGATTAAGGTACGAATCACGTAGTTTTGGCAATGTAATTTTATTCAAAATCTCTTTGTATTGCGTGTGATATGGATGATTGGGTGTTTTGTAGAAGAGTAGCAAATTTTTAACGATTTTCAATACGATCATGCGTTCAAGCGTATAATAACCCCAAATATCATCGAGCAGTTTGCTCATATTACTCTCCGATGAAATATGTGCTGCGAGCGAGCTGGCGGAGCCGCGATATTCATTGGTTAGATAGTAGCAGAGTATCTCCCAGCATTGTTGCGACTCCAAGTCCTAGTAGCAAAATATTTTTGTATTCAATATATTAAGCAAAACGTAAATTTTAAATAACGCACCAACAACTCTTGCAAATTCTGTGTAAATGGCAGTAACTTCTGCTGCTTCTTCTCCTTCAGCAAATCTTCCAATTTCACATTAGAGGCTGTACGCTTGCGAAATTGCAGCACACCGTCTTGCAGTTCCTTCGATACATTCAGCAATTCTTCGCGCACAGTGCTCTCCGGTGTTTCATGGTGTATACCGGAGACAAGTTGCCACAGCCGCTTCCAATCGGTGCTGTTGTGTTTGTAAAGCAAGAATATATTTATTTACTCGTGTCAAACGAAACCAAATTACTTACATTACACTGCCATTTGCACTCATTGCTCACTGTTTTTGTTTTCTCACTAAATTTTTTATTGTTTAACAGAAATTTCACTTAAAATTTATCAAATAATTGTGTGCGTGAATTGCCATGCATAGCACAGCCGCCAAATCTGCCCAAACGATTCGTTTGTCAACTGTCACAAACAGCTGTTTGGTTTTGCACACTTTTGTAATAGATTCAATAGTGAAATTTGTAGTAGCACGTGGATTTTTGACCGTTTGAAATGTTTTTGCGCTGATGTTAAATTTAAATTTATGTTTAAAGCTTTTTTCCCACTTTAAAAGTGAAAGAAGAAATGTTGTGAAGTCCATGAAAATTTTTAAGTTGAGGTGGCATGTTATCTGTGAAACTCCCTTTGAGCAAATGCGGCATGATCTTGTACAATAATAACGTTAAGCACTTCCTTGCGGTTTCTTTTGTCATTGTTATGTTGCTTTTGTCTCCATTTCCTTCAAAATTTGACATTTGATTGGCGGTAATGGTGGTTTTGTGTGGCTAGAGAGTCGTTTTATTTTTATTAATGGACAATAAATCAGATTATATTAAATAATTGAATTTTATGTTAGTTACAAGTAAAGTTAACAAAACGTGTGTATGTATGTGTTGTGTATATGTGTTCGCGAAATGGATGCAATCTTTGTTTGATTATAAAAACCAAATTTAAAATGGTCAGATCAATGTTTCAATTTGAAAAAAATGTGAAAATATGAAAAATATAAACAATTAGTGATTTTTTTAGGAATGTTGCCAGCTGATTGCATACATTTTGATCCACCCTTACTTTATGGCAAAGGTAAGTTCACTTAGTTCTTATAAGATATCTTATTTGTTATCCTAATATGACTTACATATGATCAGACGAAAATATATACATACATATGTGCTGTGTAACTGGGAGAATGCGGGCCTCGCTGTGCAGATGTTCGATGGGACACATCAAGAGGCATCCCGTTGTAATTCTGCGTTGCACTGCATCTAAGCGAGCATATTGGTGTGTTGCCAACAACGTTTCTTTGTCTTTTCCCCCTCTGCAATCGCCTAGCGACTTGAGGATTTTGTTGTGGCTCTGAGAGGAGTAAAGGAGCACAGACTATGAAATGTCACAACTCGACGATCTTAGCATAACCAAAGCTATAATAGCATCTCTGAAACTGATTTTTTTCATTGATTCGCATTCATCGGAAGAAATGGCTGCCAACAGAGAATTTCAATAATGTAACTTTGTTATTCTTATTGCGTTTTGATGCATTGATTGAATCAAGGGAAATACATTGTAATTGAGACTTTAATTCATTCTCGTTTGGGGATTTTAATTTTTCCCTAAGATTGAAATAAGTCATATTCCGTAATTGCATATAAAGTAATAGACAAATTTTGCTCGAGTTTTACAGCAGCCAATAGAGAAGTAAAAATGTTAAAGTTTCCGAATGTGCGAGTAATCGTGATTTGGAGTTATCGCGAGTGTGTATGTAGATATACAGTCGTTCTCGGCGATCCTCATATTTGGCAATAAAGATTATACGAAGTTAGACTTCGATTTTACCTCTTTTGGGCAGCGAATATCATGTGGGCTGAGAACTGTTTAAACTGACCAAGACATCGCCAACCGTCACAAATCTCTATCCTTGCCTTCGACCGCTAACCCTAACTAGTATATCCTTTTTCTTGCTACTTCATCCTATTATTTTCAAGTTATTGTGCTGCTATTTTTAAATTCATGATTTCGGAAATGGGAAGACGGTTTTGAATAATACCATTTCCGAAACCCATATTGTATGCGCCACTGCTCATAAATCATCAAAATATTTTTATTTCTCTGTTGATATTAATATCTGTGACATCTGAGCCAAATGTCACATCAAAATAATCATTAGTGTTTAGTAGACGTTTGTCTTTCTGAAGTGCGTAAAGTGCGTTTGCCGATTTTTACGAAGAATGAAATTATCAACATAGAAGTTCCATTAAATTTTGATTGCGGAACCAGAGTTCAGGTGCCGAAATGTTCAGAATGTCACAATCAGACAGTCAGAGATCTTATTGACATCGTTGGAATATCGGAAGGAATCATTTTGAAAGCTCATTTGAGCCTAAGAATCTTGAAAGACCATTGGTTCCCAACTCACTAAACTTTTTCGAAAAACTGCGCCGCGTTAGCGTCTGTGACATAATGTCTTCTGACTAACATGATGTCATAGAGCGTATTATTAGAGGCGATAAGTCTGGGATATATGCTTACGACTCAGAACAGAATATAAATCTGTTAAATATCGTGATACAGGTGAGCCGAAACGAAAAAACCATGTCAAAGGAGGTCAAAAAAAAAACAAGGTTAGGTTGGAAGCCTTCCCCGATTATCGAGGTGTGTCTCATTACGCATTCCTCCCGACCGGCTAAACTGTCAATGAAGTCTATTCCGGACTTTAACCACTGTTTCGAGTATTGGAAAAAACCTTGGCGCAAGTGTATTGGAACCAAGGGGAATTTCTTTGAGGAGACAACTAAGATTTTGAAGAATAAATTAAAAATTTTAAAAAATTATGAACAAAATCTTGCTATTTTTTTTGTTCATAGTGGTATTGTAGTATATACCACTTCTTCAGATATGATATCGGCGATTTCGGCAAATGAGCAGAATCGACAAATTTTTTAAGATTTATTTTGTACAGCACCAAACTAACTCTTCGAATTTAATCGTTAAAATGCTTCGAAACTAAGATTGGAAATACACTGTATAATAACTTTGATATTAATACGATATTGACGGGGAATAATTTGTGGCAAACTCCTACTTATACTATTGCGTACTTATAAGTATGTATGTGCCCAAAAAATAAGGTAACATTTTATTTATTTTGAAAATTATTTATTTATTCTTCCAAATCAATTTCATCCTCTTGAAAGTAATCCCCACTAGATGTAGTACATTATGCCAACGGATTTTCCAATATTCGAAACACTGGTTGTAACATCAATTTCCGGGATGGTCTTCAGTTCCGTCTTCGCTCCGTGATTATCGTATAAAAACGATGTCCTCGGAGCGGTCTTTTGAGCTTGGTGAACAGCCAGAAGTCGCACGGCGCCAGATCAGGTGAATACGGTGGTTGCGGAACGATATGGGTTGAGTTTTTGGTGAAATTGTCATTTAATGCAAATTCATTGCTCAACAAACTTCGACATCGCAAAAAACGAAGAATTCACTTTTCGCAGCTCACAAAACGACAAGTATCTCAAACACTAATGAATATTTTGACACGCGAAATTTGGCATAAATGTGACTGACAGTACTACCAGCCTAAAAAAAAAACAATAATAATTCTCCAAATCCTTCGACGCGTGCAGTTTAAATTCAAATGTCACCTTATTTTTTGCGCACATCGCATTAAATAATATTAGATAATATGAAATTATATGAACATAAAATTTATATATATAATATCTCAAATAAGTATGTAATAATTTTTATCCTTATGGCATTGAATCTGTTTCTTTTTAATATCCTTTAAACTATAATTTTATTTGCGCAACAATTAATAACACACACACATGTACATAGCATAATACATACATATATACATACATACATGTACATACACATACATTCATTAGAATTCATTTAGTAACTCGCACAAGACTTCGCACTCACTACTCGAGAGGGTAGTTTTCGAAATTTCGCTTTTGCCTTTCGCACCAACACATTTCACGAATTACTTAGCCCTCTCAGCAAGCAGCAGCCGCCTTACGTCAGTCGATTCTGTATGGATGAGCGCTAGCTAGATTAACGGTAATGCTGATGCTAACACGAACGAAGCGCACACAGCCGAACCGTACAATAACACACACACACACAAACTTACATTAGGACACATACGACTGCCTGCCACCAGCCCAGGTCGGCCGCCAAACCACCCAACCGTCGTCAGACCCCTAAAACTGCAGGCTGGCACTGCTGTAAGTGCGAGCGCCTCCCCGTCAGCGCTTACAGACCCAAGCCAACACACGAGCACAGTGAGAGCAGATCTAACGACGAGAGCGACAAGCGAGTCAGCAACACATAGAAAACGGTAAATCACCAGGCGAATGTGCTCAACAACGAAGCTGTGTCCGCAAGGATTTTTACAGCATCGCTAGGGCGCTTGCGACAGCACAAAATTAGTTAGAGAAAACAAATGCTACGCAGTAGATCTAGTGCTGACAGCCAGTGTATATATTACTTAGAAAAAGTAGCAAATCTGAAACATCAATAATACCGAGCATAAATTTAAAAGTTAATTGAAACGCCATGTCGCAAAACTCAGCACCACCCGCGCATACTTTTGAGAATGATAACAGTAAGTGGGTAAAAACAGCAAAATAACAGTAAATTTGTTATATTTTCCTCAACCTACCATGAACGAGTGCCTGTTTGTGTGTGTGCGTGTATTTTGCCCTTACGTCACTGATTTACAGTTCAATAGATTTTCTGTATCCTGACAAGTTGCTGTGCTGCTGTGTTGTTAGTGTTATGCAGCAAATTTAGCTTCTTTCCTGCGCCTAGTTGCTAACTAGTGAAGTGTTTGTTTGCTTTTTCATCGTCAAAAATGTGTATACAGCAACAAACCACAAATGAATATACACACATACATAAACATATGTATATGTATGTGTGTCTATGTCTGGTGTTAGTGGTTTCATGGAGCGTGTTATCATTACTGGCGCAGGACACGAGCGTGCAGTTGAATGCTTGTAAGCTAGCTGTTCTTATCGTTCTCCTTTTCATTGCTTTATCAATTCTGTTTTGCTTCAGTTTCTTTTTCTTTGCTTGTTGCTTAGGCAAACGAAAAGTATTTAGCTAGCATGCTTGGATTCGCTTGGGCTGATGCTGTGAGCGCCAAGACTTATTGCTGGTATGTGGTGAATAAAGAAAAGTGCATTGTTTTCACCGCGAGTGTTTAAGTAGAGAGTCACTACATACTTGCATATATACATATGTGTCTGACAATTCTGTTTTCTTGCATTTTATTAAGTAACAGTGCAATTGAATAGGTCTCCGGCTTATTATTGTAAAAGTCTTTTTTTTTTTTTTGCAAAATTCGTTTTTTATTCAACATGGGGTTCCCTTCAAGGGTGATACACTGATTTTAGTGACTCTCTAACTTTTCGATAACATTTTTGTAGTATAATTTGTCCTTTGCTTCAAAATAGGTCTCAGTTTCGGCGATCATCTTTTCATACGACGAAAAAATTTCTTCAAAGCGAGCACTCTTTTGAGATCTGAGTACAGAACATAGTCACTGGGGGTCAGATCTGGGGAATGCTGTGAACGCGGAAGCAATTCGAAGCCCAATTCATGGATTTTTGACATCGTTCACACTGACTTGAGACATGGTGTATTGTTTTGGTGAAAAAGCACTTTTTTTTCTTCAAATGCGGCCGTTTTTGGGTGATTTCGTCCATCAAACGGTCCAGTAACGCTATTTGATAGCCACCGTTGATGAAACCGCATTCTTTTTCAAGTTAGTCAGTAATTGTGATTGTTGAAACCAATTATGTCAATGTCATCATCGGCTGCCAGCAGCTCTAAACTTTTATAAAAGATTTTACCTTCTCTATTTAGCTTTGCAGCTTCTTAAGTTGAAGAAGTCACACGATAGGCAGTGTCTTTGTCTGAAACTTCGCTTGGTATATTACAGCTTGGAGAGGATTTTTTTGATCCTGACGGAGCTTTTGACGGGCGGAGCAACTTGTGGTAGCGGCAGCTTTCTTTAAAAAAAAAAATTAATTTTAATTTAAATTTTTTTATTAATAAACCGTTTATTCAGTGTCCCGAAGACACAGTTTGTTTGTCAACTTTAACAATATCGTTTGTGTGATGTGTGCTTTGGTACAATTCAAGTTCTTAAGTTCTCACCACATAATGTTCTCATAAAATCGAATGCTCATCTTTCAGATTACTACCAAATCAGCGATGAAGATCTCGAAGACTGCGATGATCTCAACGATGACTGTCTACTAGAAGAAGTGGTGGAGGGCAGCAATGGAAATAGCATCACAATCGGTGGACGCGGTCCCTACGAACGCGCTTGGACCTCGGAAGCAACGCGTGCCCTGATACACATACGCGGACCGATGCAAGGCATGTTCACGGAAGGACGTCAAAAGCGTACAGCACTTTGGCTACACTGTACGCGACAATTACAGAAATTGGGTTTCCGTTATAGCGCGGCGAAGGTACAAAAGAAATGGCACAACATTTTGATTACGTACAGCAAGAACTTGCCGAAGAAAAAGTCCAGCGGCTATGTACATTGGGAGTTCTTCGAGGAGATGCATAAATATTTGAAGGATAAGAAAGTCGATATATATGAATTTCAAATGCAATCATCGTCATATTCGAAATCAGCTATTCAACAACAACAACAACAACAACAACAACAACAACAACAACAACAACAGCAGCAGCAGCAGCAACAGAAGCAACAACAACCGCAAAGTGCAGCGTTTCGTGAGCTCAAACAAGCGCCGGCACTCTCGAATGAATTGATGGCACAATTCGACGGGAATCAACTCTCGTTGCTGGCCAACATCGCCGAAACGAATATGGACAAATCGAATGATGAGTTCGATGAAGATTCGACCATAATGTCGGAATTGAAACAACCAAAAATGGAATTTAATGACAACGAATTGCCATTGGAAATCTCTCATGCGAACGGATATAGTAACAAATGTGACAATGCGCGCTTTCCGTCTGTCGTCAATGGGGCGCAGGAGGAAGGCGTCTGGTGGAAGGACTATTTTGAACGCAAACTGGACGTCGAACGTGAGAAGATCCAATGTCAAAAAGAGCTGCATCGCGAGCAAATGCAATTCCAAAAGACGACCGCGCTGCAACAAGAGAAAATCGAGCGCTTGAAGATCGATGCGATCAACAATTTGACGGCGACGCTGCAGAAGCTGGTGGAGACGAAGAATCGCAAGGCGTAGAGCACTGTGAAATGAAGAAGTTTCATTGATTTTCATCGTTTGTAGAAAGTTAAGTTAAGTCTTTGGTCATTAGGCAAACAGGCGTACATGGAGTTCAGATTTTGTAGAGTTCAAGTCTCAAATATATTTGTGGAATGTGCATTTTTTATTTGATACTACAAATTTTAATTGAAGCTTCATATATTACTATTAAAAAGTTTAACCCTAGAAGTCAATTTGGGCATCTAAATCATCCTTCAAAGCGTCATACTCAAAAATATTTGCTGTTTTAGTTAAGATATTTTGCCGTGAGGCCATTTATATTTGTGTACATAACTTTAGAAATAAATTAAATGTAATAATTTTTAATACCTGAATATAAATTAATGAGTACAAGTTTACGTTCATATTGTTTTTATCAAGACAAACATTGAAAACTTCATAAAAGTTCATAATTTGCCGCATTTAAGGTCCACACTACACCTGCCAATCGATTTCCAACACTGTAGCTACTGAAGCAGCTTTACTTTCCACCGTCTCAGTGCCGTAGCCGAAGATCCACAAGTCCGTGGAGAAGACCAAGCATTCGCCACCTCCCAAACGTATATTCACCACAGGACAGCGTTCTTGACAGGGTTGCTTCGGCCGCAAACGTATGTCAAAATGACCGCTCAGTTGCTGTACGAAAATCAAGCCATGTAAATAGATTTCATTAAACTTTTCGAACGCATAGTTTTGCGACAACAGCACCCAGCTCGAGTAGAAGGGCTCGAGGTGCAGTGGGTAATAGTAGGGTCGTGTAACGAAGCGACGTGACGCCTTGACAGCACGCCGCTGACAATTACGCAATTGTAGAAACCATTTGTTGCGGGCCGGTATTGTGTGATTAATCTTCTCCAAAGCCAATTCTAAGTTAAAGAGTTTTTTCAGCATTAAATTTGTCGAGACATCGCATGGATCACTTTCAAGGAAATCCGACGAGGAGTTGTACATTTGATTGAGCAGCGTGTCTAGCGTACGGGGTTGATGCGAGTCGGTTACTATTACTGGCCAACCACGTTCGAGGTACATTGTTTCAAGTGTTGAGAAGGTGATATTCGTTGTGGTGGGTACGCGCTCTGAAAGTGACAGAAGAGAGTATATAAAATATTTTTGTTACTGAAATGAGATGTCATAATTTAGGTTAGGTTAATTTGGTAGGCCAGTAAGTCAAGCATAGAGCAGTTTGGTTCTTTGCAATGGCAGATGAAATTCTTACATCCTTTAGGATCAACAGACTCTATGACCTCACTATCGATACCTCTTTCAGTGTCTCATACCGTGGGGACCACAGATTCTTACAGTGTAGTGTTGCCAAAGCGGAATAAGCGCACAAGAGATGCTCCATTGTTTCCCTGTGTGCCCTGCTCTAGACATTTCTTACAGCCTTCACGATCTGATGAGATGTCGTAAGTTGTGAGTATATGCACTTGACGGTTCGGTATTTGCTTTGTCAGTCCTTTGACCAAGCTCCACCTATTTTGGTAGAGTGTCTTGATGTAACCCGATAGCTCCTGCTTTGTACTACTACACCTCCGAACATTGTATGGATTTCTATGGAAGCTTCTTTTCTGAAAGTAACCTAGTCTAAAAATTGCTCGTGTTAGCCGAGGTGGAGGTTAAGGTAAAAATTGATCTTGAATGATCTTCGTTGCCATGATGAGCTGTGTTATTGCAAAGGTCTGTAACTGAAATCTCTGTACAGAAGAACGTGAATCGGGTGTACTCATTTTTAATGCAAACAATATTCGGATACTAGAAGTTATCTGGTTTTTATCTGATATATATCCAGCCTGTCAGATATCCGGAAGTTTCATTATGACCAGCTGGTGCGAATACACATAATACGGACTGACTTCAAACATTTTTTCTGATCTCTTACTCACATCACAAAGCCGTATATTTGCACTAAGATCACAACAAATTTGTTTTTTAACCTTAAATTTTAATAAAAGAATCATATTACTACAAATTTCCTGCGCAACACTCACCCAACGTCTCGCAGAGTACACAATTTCCCGCTTCAGTTTCGTAGCGCTCTGGGATTTTAGTTGTAGGTGCCACACTACCGCCGTCCACCTTATCCACTTTGCGTTCAATCAGACAACGGCTATTATATAATGGTGTCCAATCCCAATAGGGCAACACCTGTATCAACAACAGACGTCCAATGGCACTGACAAACCAACTAAATTCATCGCACCAATTGTAGAGCAAGCACAAAGCACCGAAGATAGCCAAAACAACGCATGCCAACGCCGAACAACTGTTGCTGCGACGTTGCAACAACGGCTGACATATGGCACGCATCTCGGCGGCGCTAAAGCCCTGCTGCTTGCACTCCGCGAAGAAATCAACAAATTCTTGTTCCAACGTTGCCATGATGAGCGTCTGCACGCGAACACTTTGCGGTCCCGAATGCGCCAGGCAGCAGTCCCACGGTGGCATTAGCCATTGCTGTTTGAGGCTGCCACCGCACATGCGCACTGTTCGCATGCCTGGCTGCCGGCACATCTGTCGATAAGCGAGTTAAGGATTTTAAATCGAATTTAACACTTCATTGCAAGCGAAATTGAAATTGAAAGTGTGGCGCGATTTAACGGGTAAAATTGCATGGGGGGAACACAGAGTTAAGAGTGAAAGGAAAAACTTAAAATATATGTATATTTTTTATATTCACCCACACAACCACTTACTGGTATGCTGCCTCCACATTGGTCTTAAAAAAATCGTTAAATCTTTAAAATAATATAAAATATTTAACGTGTCCGTAATTCGAGCAATCGTGAGTCGATTTCGCATTATGTTTACTCTGATGGATAATATTTATCCTCAGAGACGCAGTAAAGTGTGCACAGATGCCGTTGTGGCTGCATTCAATTGAATTGAAGCCGAGAGATCAGCAAATGCGTCGCACGTTCAGTAAATGGACCGAAAACCGATTCCGATTTTCACAAGCAAATTTTGTTCAGCCATAAAGATCCATTTTGGTAATCTATAAGCCTTCAAAAATAAAGGCGTTCAAAATGTTACAGTCAATTGTGAGAGCTATAGCGCCATGCTAAATATTTTTTCATGCTTGATTTGGAACGAACTTTGGTTCCAACAGAGCGGCGCTACATGCGATACAGTTATATCGCTATCTCGCGCCAAGATCAAGATCAAGACCAAGATCAGTATTAATATTGTACTATTTTTGTGTGGTTTTCTGGAGTCGTTTATCTATGCAAATATGCAAGAAATGACTGACGTCTTTGAAGAGAATATTATTTGCATTATGGACAGGGTATTTTCACGAAATTTGTTACAGATTATTGTCAAGGCAGCACTACAATATTCTCAAAATTTGTTCAGATCGCATCACTTTTTGCACCAGTGAAGGATCATACATACTCGATCCAGTCGAAGTTAACTTTTTATTTTTTTCTTGTCTAAAGTTTGTTGGCAATGCTTTTCATAAGCATCTCTGATAGAAATCATTCTTAAGCTTATTTACCACGATTCCAATTATTGAAATCATTTATTATCAATGTAATCAAATAATACTGAAGTTGGCATTTCTTTTCAAACGTGTTTTCAACTGGATGCATAGTAGAGCGGGTCATTTACATGGAGTCAATATGGGAAAAATCGGGTATGCGAGAAATATTCTACTGATCATTCTGAACAACTTCGCCTAAGAGACTTTGGTCTAAAGCCGGTTTTGCGCCAGCGATTTTTGAGGCGAATTTTCCTATGCCGGAATCTACAACGAATCGTCGGCGAAATCGAGTAGCCTCAACCGCAATTTGCGCATGTTACTTCATACTGAATTTACCGACCGAAAACACTTTCTTTACCCATCCTAGCGTTAAGTTGTCAAGCACGATTTTGACATCGTTGAATGCTAGCACCCAGTGACGGAGTCTCTCTTCCATTACGACTCTCGTACCGAATTTGTGTTGTTTTTGTTTCCACTGTAGTAAATGCCACAAGGAGCCACTCGTCTCAGTACTTGTCGCACTTCTTGGACGGCGGTAATGTCAGCTTTTAGACTCACGAAGATAACAACCAGCTGGGCAGCGTCTGCATTTCAATTAACAAATTGGACATTCCAGGTGCATGCCCTTAAATCGTAATCCTTAGTACGTCTACAGTGGAGGACCCTAAGCCAAGGGCACAACCCTGGGGAAGGATGGTTCGCTTTCTGCAGACGATATTTAGTCTAAAGTCAATGTATAATGTGAATGAATCCTTTCTGACCACTCCCAAGTAAATGAAAACTTTCCTCACTTGTGTGATATATTGTATCCCTATTTGGACTCCAGTACCTATGGCTGACGTTTTACCGAAAACATTCGTCAATGTGTCAGACTTATAATTATAATTCTGAGATAATCATCTACTGGGTTGAATCGGATCTATACTTCTCTTAGTTCTCATTTTCGAATGTTCGAAGTTTCGTAGTTTACACCCTACATATCGGCCGATATGTGTGTTATTTTAATAAAAGAGAGCGTGTTTTTCTAATAACGGTGTATATTAGTGCTTAGATTGAATAAAATCGGGTGAAAATTCGCCCTAGACCCCTATATAACCGACAGGCATTATGTACCTGAAAGTACTTCCCTGGCTGTAACCCTTGCAAGTTGCAAGAGTCCGAAAGCTTCTCCTTACTTGTTTAAAATATTTCCACGAAGAAGTGAGCAGATCGAATTTTTATTACTCTTTTAAAAATGTTTTAAGAAATCTCACATATGGAGATGTCCATCCGGGGTTCAAGCGTTGCCATCACTGCTATTCAACATTCAGATCAAATTTATCTACGTATATCTGAAGTATGCTGAAATGTTACCGCCATAAGGAAGGAGCTAAATTGCCTCTGAAGCTTAATATGTATATGTACATCTTATTAATAGTCCTGATTCTCATTATCCAGAAATCCTATTAAAATTTATATCAATCAGCTGACTGTTGTTCCAGTCAGCCTTTAAAGCAAGCGATTACAAAACCGAAACGATTGCATTTATTTCAATTAATAATATTCGTAAGACTTTTATTTCCACCAACTTTCTTTGCTCTCTTAAATAATACGATAATATACATACATATATGTATATGTAGTTGAAATTTAGGTAAACAACTTCCTTCATTTAATTGCCGTCTTTGGGAAATTTACACTGCTTAAAGAAGTCACGAGTTGCATTACATTCTGTACTGTCATTCCAAGCAGAGGCCGGGCAATTTTTGAAAGTCTCTATATTGACGCACATCATCAGCATGCCGCTTACTGGCGAACAATTGCCCATTCTACCCGCAAATTCCGGGTGTTTGCTGGCTTTTTCAGCTATTTTAGCCTTCAACTCGCTGAGCATCCCGACGCAAGTCTCGAATGATTCTTCCATAACGGCAGCCATTTCTTCATTATCCTGTACGGCTGTGTCGAGTAACGCGCTAAATTTGTCAACATCGGGCTCGCCGTTTGCCCCCATAACTTCGGTGTTGTTGAAAATGCAATCGATCACACACTGTCGGAAGCGATGGTTATTATTATTGGATATACGAGTATTTACAGCACATTACTCACTGGAGGTGGATGGTGCGGATGATGACGACGGCCAAACTTTGGTGGACCGCCACGTCCCACTGGCGGTGGTGGTGGCGGTTTATTATATTCCGCACATTGCTCATTCAGTTCATCAGTACTGACATCTGGCACTGGACAACACATGTGGGGCGGCTAAAGAAAATATATTTATGTGAATAGTTAAACAGTGTAATCTACAACTAAAATATTTCGAGCGAGCGTGGATCCAAGAATATTTCTGTAGGCTTCTGTTTATTAAAGGATAGTAAAGATTAGGTGGATCTAATGCAAGAGTCTTATGAACTGCTCAATTTCCTATAATTCGTGTAGGATATTATGTCATTACGCATCAGGGATATCAAATTGTATAACTGTTATATGCATCAGCTGCATTCCCTTTGTTGATTCGGCTGACTGACATGCGATTATATAGTCCCTACGTTTAATTAAGCTTTGAGCTCTGAAACTTTAACAACCCCTGTACTTAGTTTCTTGAACCGCAACAATTTATAATACCCCACACTTTATACGGCTGAACCATATAATATTCCTGGGAGAGCTAAGCATTTTTTTTTCGAGCTGGAGTTATAAATTATTTTGTTAGCTACAGCTGTTGTACTCAGCTATAGCAGAGTGGCTTGAGCCGGGTTTATATACGTAAAACAGCATTGGTTTTAGTTGTTTAGATCAAGAGATCTTGAGAAGAACAAAAGTACGTTGGATCACAGGATCTTGCTGTTCTTGCTGATCGGGTGATGGATTTTAAAAAAAGTAAGCTGGATCACAGGATCTTGCTGTTCTTGCTGAACGGGTGATGGATTTTAAAAAAACTATGCTGGATCAACACCACCAACCACGAAAGACTTTAAATCCAACGCAATGAATAACTCTTGCCAACAGGTACTACTTCGGACTGAGAAATAATGTGCTCCCTCGGCAAACAAAGACCGAACACTATAAGGGACTCATTATTCCCGTCCTGATGGGGAAGATTTATGGTGCTTTGAGAAGGAGCTCCAATTGTTGCCAAACAGTGAGAAGGACGAACGACTGGCGCGCTGTTGTAAACTCGGCTGTAACCGAGTCAGCGGTGTCTACGCCAATAAAGAAGAAGAAAGTTTTGGATCACAGGATCTTGTTAAAAGTCGTTTAAGCAAGTTAAATCACGGGTTCTTGCTGAACCGCTGCTGAATTTTATGAGATCTTTCGAAGTTCAGCACTCTCTGTGGTTTAAATTGTTGTATCGATGTTATTATTATTACCGTTGTTGGAAAAAAGAATTATCTTTCATTGAAATTGGAGCTGACGATAAATCGAGTAATAAATCGTAACATAATCCTTTAATGCAGACATTCACTATAGAAAAACCGGTTTCAAAGCTTTCGCTCATATTTTTGGCAACGAAAAAGCGCATGCCGAACACTTCTCATCTTATTTTTTGAGTTCGCATAATACTTCTTGGATCCAGTATTTGCTGTATAAGACCAAGCCACTAGAGTAACGAACTAATATGACTAGTCATCAAGGTCTAGTATTAAGGTTCTTTAGTTTAAACTCATGTGAAACATTAGAAAACGGTTAAACTCGGTCTACAGCTACGAAATTTTTGTTCGCTTAGATCTATCCGTTTTCTTTAAATTCATACTGTTAGAAGACCATTTGATTCGCAGTGATTTTTTGAACTACGCCCGTCTGCGAAAATAAAATAAACTTACAACAAAACGTGGCGGCTTAGTGCAATCCACAGTTTCATCTTGTGCGCTGGCGTGGCACTAAAAACAGAAAAAGTTCTGATAATTACACAAACTGTGAAATTAAGTTCGAAATTATTTCAAAAACTAACTGACCACAAATGCAAAAATCACTACAAAATATCCAAAATACGCCTTCATGTTGGAAGCTTGGCTCAGAAATGACAGATTTCAACTGATGTTTAGCAACTCCAGACTCGGCGTTTTATACAAAGTTCTATTGTAGTTTTAAATAAATACTAAATAGTAGAAAAACATGCCAAATGCTCGCATGCTTCACTGCCGCTAAATTAAATCACGCTGGGAGTCCATTTGATTTGATGTGATTGCATTGCATATACATATATATGTATATATATATTAGGGTGATTCAAAAAAATTTTTTTTTTTTTTGGTTTGGTTCTCTGAAAAATGTGTTTCTAGACACCCTTAGGGTAGCCTCTCCAAGAATGAGTTTTTAATTGTAACGGGAAGGTCCTCCTACTTACAGTTTTCTATTTTTTCTTATTATCAGATAGAAAAATTTTTATCTCGCTTCCAGGTACTTGAAAAAATATCTCGTTCCTTAGATTTTGTAGGAGATTGAATGCTCTACAAACAATTTTTTCGTAAACCCAACCGTTTAAAAGATACTAACGCTTAAAGTTTGATTATTTTTGGGAATTCTTTTCTTATGAATTTTATAACTCAATGAAAAAAAATCATTATGAATAATGAAACTCATAGTTTTGTAGGAAATTTACTGCTCTATAAAAATGGTCTCATATGATTTTTCGTTTAAGTTAGGCGTTTACGAGATATTCATTGTCAAACATCAATGCATATTAGGGTGAATCAAAAAAAAAAAATTTTTTTTTCGTTTAGTATTCTGAAAAATAGGTTCCTAGGCACTACTCAGAAAGCCTCTCCAAAAACCTACGAGTTTCATCATTCATAATAATTTAGTTCATTGAGTTATAAAATTCATAAGAAATAAAAAATTGTCGAAAAAATAATTAAAATTTAACTGTTAATATCTTTTAAACGGTTGGATTTACGAAAAAATCGTACAGACCGTTTTTGTAGAGCATTCAATTTCCTACAAAATCTAAGGAACAGGATATTTTTTCAAGTACCTGGAAGCGAGATAAAAATTTTTCTGTCTAGTAATAAGAAAAAAAAAGAAAACTGTAAGTAGGAGGACCTTCCCGTTACAATTAAAAACTCATTATTGGAGAGGCTATCCTAGAGGTGTCTAGGAACCTATTTTTCAGAGTACCAAACGAAAAAACTTTTTTTTTTTTTTTTTGAATCACCCTAATATAAATATAATATGCTTATATGTGTGGGAATTAATTAAGTTTTTACTAGATTTAGCGCTGATATATGTAATAAACAAATATAAAATAAAAAATATATAATCACTCCACAAATGATTCAGAAATATGTAGCACCCGAACTGGTAAAAACTTTAGTCGCAACGAATAAATAATTTCTCAAATCTCTCGGGATTTATTCGGCCTCTTTAGTTAGTTATCAACTTCATATATGTATAACTAAGTGTGTAAGTGTCACCGACTTTGTGAAGCAATTCTAATTTTGATCTAATAAGACCCCAGAAAGTCTATCCGATTGTTGTGCCATTCCCCTAACTTGCATTTATTCTTAAGTCTAGCTGTTTCCAGGACAGTACTACCTTGGTGGTTCATCGATTGTATTCATTGCGGTTTTGGCTTTAAATTCAGCCACAATCGTACTCTTTTTGAAAAAAAAAAAAAATTCAGCTTTATCGGGACAAGTTAAGCAAGAACTCGCTTCATACCTAAAATAATCACCAAATTCATTCGCATGGAGTCGCGAGAGATGTCGAGCTCTCTTGCCTGACAATTTTCTAGTACCATATCCTTCATTTTACTAATGTTTTCATCAGTTGAAGAGGTCGAAGGTCGTCCAGAACAAGGCATGGTTTCAACGATCTCTCGTCCGTCGTTGAAGGCTTAGTACAAAACGTAAGCTTGTGTTTCTGATAAAACTAAATCACCGTAAGCCTTTTCCAGCATTCGCAAAGATTCCGCACACGAAATCAATCGTCAATGAATCGTCCAATCAGTTCACATGAACACTAAGAAAGAGTTTCAGACAGTTTTAAACTTCGAAAAGTTTTGCGAAAGATTTTCGAGTGATAAAGATCAATATTTCACAATATTTCAAGTACTTTTTCACTCTCTATACTTATCCACATCTTGACTTTTATAAACATAAAGGAAAAAATAACTTCGTCACGGATCTGTTGTAATAGTTTGTTTGGTGAAAGTCCACCTAAATCCGTTCAAATCGCTTCGAGTTCGATGCTCTTTAGTTATTGTTGATGGTTTGGTTAAGATCTTTTCTATTGAAAATTTCAACAGTATCAGATTGCATTGAAAAAATATTAAGTATGTAGAATGGATACTTAACGACCCACCTAGACCTTTATGTCACCCACTGTGAAACCACCGAGCTAAACCCCCCTCACCCTATTATGTCTTTTTTAAACCCTTCCGTCAAGAAATCCTCGACCGATATTTCCGATTCTCATGCTACACAAAGCCCTGCATTCCCAGGGAAGATGTTCTATAGTATCATGTCGATTAAATATCTACAAGTAGTCAGAGATAAAAATTAGCGCTTTTTTGGAGTATAATAATCGGGCGGTGCCTGTTCGGGGTAATTCGACTGCTTTAGAGTTTTCAGGAATATCCGAATATCGTGAATGTTGGATCCACTAAGAGATTAAAGCATTATTTCAATAACTTTAAGAGGTTTTAGTGATTTCAAAGCCAGTTGGTTCGGACGACAGCCAGCGTAGCCGCTGAAGTTTCGTCATATATGAAGAGGTTTGCATATAAGGATCGGTCATGCGGGTTGATTTGATGTTCTACGAAGGAAAACAATATTTGTATAAAAAAGTAAGCTCATTATTTTGGTGGTTCCATGGAGAGAAAGCAATGGTAATTGCACTACGTGTTACGAAAAACTGACGAAACCCCCACAGAAAATTTTCGTGGTAACTGCCCTGGAGTTTAAAACTGTGCAAAATTTAATGAAATAGCCTTAACACACTGCCTGGTTGTTTAACAAAATAAATTCATTAACTCTGATTATAACAATGATTATTGCGCATTATTATTAGTTTCAGTTCTAATTGGCGGATACTAGATTTGCGGTCAGCGATTATAAAACTGGTGACAGAACCTTAATTTGTGATACTTATTATATTTTTACATAACTTAGAAACAAAAATATATATACACATAGACAATTTGCTATCAAATGATTCACAGATATTAATTGCTTTTATTTTTTGATGCACTAATCATAGTAAAATATTTATATGGTAAAAATATGCAAATGTATTAATTCAAAGTACTTGCTCCCAAGTCAACCCATTTAAAGTTCGTAAAACTAGCCTCTTGATTATTTGTATACTCTTGCAACCAGTTGCTACAGAGTATTATAGTTTTGTTCACCTAACGGTTATACGTATCACCTGAAAATAATCGAGATAGATATGGGGTATATATACATATATAAACGATCAGGGTGATGAGCCGAGTTGAAATCAGGGTGACTGTCTGTCTGTCTGTCCATCCGTCCGTCCGTGCAAGCTGTAACTTGAGTATAAATGGAGATATCTTGATGAAACTTTGTATGCAGGTTTCTTAGTACAAAAAGTGCGAGTTCATAGAAGGGCGTAGTCGGACCACTGCCACGCCTATTAACCGAAAACTTTTAGAGTGCTATAACTAATCACTAAATTAACATATAAATTATATAATATTAATACACGTATTTCTTAAAGAACTAAAACTACAACAACCAAATTCGCAGAGTCCAAATATTAAGTTGTCAAAAAACTCTTGCGGTATTTTCGCTAGTTGGCGCCGAGAGCGCGTAGTTCTACTTTTATTAGTCGCATCGGGTCATGCTAAACCTTTTTGGAAAGCTCATTTCCCGCGCTAACACATGTTTGATTGATTGT